TCCTAAATGACTAGTTAAAATTTAGGTGTCAACAAAGTTTATTGGGAAGTTGTGAAATGGATTCTTATATATTTAAAGGGGATAACGGACGTTGGTATAGTGTATCGAAGGGACGGCAATGGTAGTGAGACCATAGGGTATGTAGATTTGGATCATGCCAGTGACTTGGATGAGTGCAGGTCTTTAGTAGGGTACGTGTTTACGCTTGCAGGTGGTGCATTGAATTGGAAGGCATCCTTACAAGATAACGTCACTGTCGCGACCTCCCCGCAAAAATAAGTGTCAACAGTCACCTTAGCGAAGGAAGCAATAAGGCTAAGGGACGCTCTCAAACTTTAGATTAGAGCAAAAAGGTGTTGATATGCACTATGATAACCAAGGTGCGATATATCTAACATATAATCCGGTTTATCACGAACAAACGAATCATATCGACATCAAGTACCATTTCATCCGATATGTCTTGGTGAAGAGTAAGGTTGTTGCGAAGAAGATAGCAACAACAGAAAACCTGGCAGATATAATGACTAAGGTCGTTCCTTAAACAAAGCTCAAGCTTTAATTGGCATCTATAGAGAGTGAGCGCCTGTCGGGGAGTTGGGAAAGAAATATAAATGATGAGTACTATAACTTGCTACAAATGTCGGGCTAAGGTGAAAAATTATTAAATTATATCTAGAGTTTGAGCCTTTTACTAAACCCAACCCGGTCAAATAAATATCCAGGTATACGGAGCTTCTTATGCGGTTAAAACAAAATGGACTCCCGGGCACTGCAAGACAAAATGAGGGACATTCTTATTTTATTATATGTATCTCCACGGTCAAAGAAGTAGACTATGGTTGCCTATTACTTGCGAAGCATAAAAGAAGAAAGCTTGTGGGTCCAAGGGGGTATTGAGATAAAAGAAAACCCTATGTTTGTCACTCTGTAGCCATAGCCGCCAGTGAAGGATTTTGTGGGTTCCTCCACACAAGAAAAGGCCGCATAGTAGCTCTCCTGTTTTTGGACGCCACAGAAGGAGTGTTTCGTGTGGGTGGCACAATGAGGAAGCTCTAAACAAGTGGATTTGTTCTGTGATTTTTTTTTTACATCCAAAATGAGTTGTTTATTTATAAATACTTGGGCTTGGCTATAATCTAAGTGTGAGAAACACTCAACCGTATAAGCGATTGTAACTCTAATTCTCCCATTATAGTGGATTATTTGCTGTTGATTCTCCCCGTGGATGTAGGTACTGATACTTGAATCGAACCACATAAATCTTTGATGTCCTTTTATTGTTCCTCGTTTATTTCTCTAATGATTTTGCATTTACTTAAATTGCAAGATCCTGTTAGTTTTTCGCGTTAATTTTACAACACTAAAAACTGACAGCATGTGTTCGAATTAAATTAGAAAAGACAATATGTGTTCAAATAAAAGACTTTTGATGTGCTCTGAACATCAAATTGCCAAAGAATTTTAGCGAAACATTTGTTAGAAAAAAAATTGCAAGTTGATTAACGTGTAAAAACGTTGACAGAAATCAAATATTTTGTTGGTGAAAGAATGATCAATAAATTGCTCACTTGGCAGTCGTGAGCTGCCAGCTCTCATAATAAATTATTATCGTTTACGTGATTGTTTACCATAACTTACCGACGTGTTAAAGTTACCAACCAACATGCAATCACTTAATTTGAATGAGCTACCAACTTTACTACGATGAAGTTACCAACTAGATTTTAACTCACCAACTCTCACTCGAATAACTTTTAAACGTCCATTTAATTCATTCAAAATTACCCATTTTTCTAATTGTAATATTCGGGTATTTACAAAAAAAAAAGTCAAAAAGTCAAAAGTTGCTACAGTGACGCTCTGTTTTTCTCATTTAAGCCGAGAGCTTGCTCGGCCGAGACAGAGAGAAAGGAAAAGAAAGAAAGAGAGGAAAAGAGAAAGAAGAAGAAGAAGAAGAAGAGAAGAGGGTTTTGCGCCGCGCGAACCTCACCTAGCGGATTCGACTTCGTATTGCAACGTCCGGTAAGCATTCGCGCCCCTCGTCCATCCGATCGGAGAAGTTTTCAGATTTAGGGTTTAAATTCGGAATTTTGGGAAATTCAAGCCGCGAAATCCGATTTTTGAGTCGTTGAGTTGCGTATATTTATAGAATTGATAGTTTAGGGTGTCGTGGAGCCGTGGGATTTTACGGATCTTGATTTGGACTTACGGTTTGCCCAATATGAATTTTTGAAGTTGGCCGCTAAGGTGAACAGTGCACGACCAGAAGATTTTAGGCCGATTTTCATTGGTTTTCGGCTCGATTTTGGGATGGCCAAGTTGGGGTTCTTGCAGTGCTCTGAGTGGGCTTTCTATTGACTATAAGCTCGCTTGCAACGGGGTTCAGTGGAGGAAGTTATGGCACGATCAAGTTTCGCATCCAAGTTTCGCGTTGCGGATAATTTTGAATACCTCTTTGGTTGTAAGTTTTGTTAGCTTGTAGGAGCCTTTTAGCTAGCGTTTAAGCTTCCTATAGCCATTGCGTAGTTATTGTAGTAGTTTACTTGGTTTTGACGTCGATTCTCGTTTAATTGTTAGGATTATGAGATCGTCGGTTCAAGTGAGCGTCGTTGTTTGATTTCTGGTATTCCGAGGTGAGTGGTACTATCTCTTCTTTGATTTTGTAAAAATCATATCTCGAAGAAATTATTATTCGATATAAATATATATATGTTGAACTTAAAAGAGCATTTTGTTGCATAAATCAGGATCGAGCATTTACTACTTTTTGGTATTTGAGAATGATTTGGGAATCATTTTGGAAATATATTGTGCAAAGATACATATGTGTATCGTGTTACGAACTAGTTTATGAAATGACTTCAGAAATGATTCAAGAAATGCCGAAATGTATTTCTGGAGGTTGAGCCGTGTTGCGAGAAAGTTATTTATTTGGTTTGTGAAATGTATTCTGGATTGGATTTCTGATATTGAATGATGATTGTTTGATGCTCAATATAAATGTGAACCCATTGAGGGGTTTGGGGGTATGCATACCGGGTTTAAGATATCCTTCTGGGCTGAGCCACCGGCTTTGTAGGTGGAGACCTTGCCAAGAGGGGAATCTTGGTAGCCTTCACTACAAAAAAAGTTGATTTTAGCGACGAATTTTGCCACAAAAAATTTGGCAAAATTCGTCGCTAAACGAATTTGCGACGGAAAAAAATTCGTCGCTAATAGGCCGTCGCAAAATTTTGCAACGGAAAATTTCAATTTTCGTCGCTAATTTGCGACGAAAAAAAATTCGTCGCTAATTATTCGTGGCTAATTTGCGACGAAAAAAAATTCGTCGCAAAATTCGTCACTAATTATTCGTGGCTAATTTGCCACGAACTATATTCGTGGCAAAATTCGTCGCTAATTTGCCACGGACTGTATTCGTGGCAAAATTCGTCGCTATTTTTTTAAAAAAAAAATTTGGTGGTCGCGAAATTGCGACGAAATCTTTTCGTGGCAAAAATAGTTGCTAATTATTCGTGCCAAAATTTATCGCTAATTTGCGACGAACACATTTCGTGGCAAAATTCGTGGCTAATTTGCCACCAAATTTTTTTTTTTGTCAGCATTTTGCAACGAACTTATTCATGGCAAAATTCGTGGGTAATTTGCCATGAACACATTTCGTGGCAAAATTCGTGGCTAATTTGCCACCAAATTTTTTTTTTGTCAGTATTTTGCGACAAACTTATTCGTGGCAAAATTCATCACTAATTTGTTACAAAAAATTTTGACTTTTGCCACAAACATTGTTCCGAAACGAATTTGGCGACGAATTTTAATAAATAATTTAGCGACGAAGTCTGCGACGAATGTTGTTTAGGGACGATTTCGATTTGAAATCTAATTAACAGCAATTATCGAATTTATATTTAACATTGATAGAATCACAGTCAAGACAAGAACAAACACAAAAAAGAAAGAAATGGAACAAAGCACTAAATTTGTATGAAAAATCCTTGAGAGGATCCAACAAATTCAACTGCTTCAATTCCAGTTCGCTCTCTTGTTGCAAACTGTTGATCTTGCCAAGAAGTTCTTTCACGTACGTAATCACGTAGTCTATAGTGTCTCCAAGAATCGAAGTCCTGTCCATCTGCAGTGCAAACATCACAATATCAAACTCCTAACCCCTCTTAATTTTTTCACATCTATTCAACAGCAGAAAGAGGGGTGTTCAAAAAAGAATATATTAGGCTATTCTCACACAAAAGATCAATTCCAGAGGGCATGTATGCAAATCGAATGCTTATTGTCATGTAGCATAAAGAATGATAGAAGTACCTCTTGCATTAACTTAGTGAACCCAGGGCACAATTCTCTGCGAACTAACTCGTCAAATATCTAATCCAAAGTGATATCTTGTAAAGCCACCAAAAGTGGTCTCTAATATGTCAAGTGCTGCCTATTTTGCAAAGACGAAAACTGGAATAGACTGCCAAACCAAAAGGAAGACCGTCATTAATCATTCCTAATTACATATACATGGCAAAATTCACTTTTAACAATTTCGAGTAATACAAATAACAGATAACAACACAATATGGCATCATGATCATTCCAAAGATTCTTCAAAGAATCAGCGCCAAGTAATTCAGATCCCAGCAACTCTGTTCCTAGAATGCACGTGCGTGCGTGAACAAGGGAGAGAGATAGCCGAGCATCAGCTTGATTAGTCCATTGTCTCTCGTGTACATGTGCAAAAACAGTTGTTGAACTTATAACAGTTGTTGAACTTTTAACAGAATCGATACATGTACATTGAACAAATGCAACAACTAATAACTTGTCCTACAAATAAATAGATAATGCTGAAGCAAGCTTACCCTCGAGTTTGGAAATTTTAACTAGCAAGGATCATCATCATCATCAGCAATCTCATTATCATGTGTCGCTCATCATTGTGCCCATCACCTACTGGATTAGTGGGAGGTACAGGAGGAACGTCATCGTGATCGAGGTTGAGGTGTCGCATGATCAATTGCAAATGTTGTTTCACTCCTCTTATTTCTTCGTCCTTCTGTACAAGTAAATGTTTCAGTTGGTTCAATTCTTGGGTCATTTGCTCCTCGTGTTGTGTCCTCCTTAAAAAAGCCGCATTGGAGGATGAAGTTGCAGCGGCCGGCGTTGTGTATATCCTTGACAAGGATCCCATCCCAAATATTTGACCTCTTCTCATTCCACCCGATGCCTCCACCCATAATGCCATACTGTCAACCGATGGCTCGGACGCAGCAAAACCATCACCATCACCACTAGCAGCAATGCTCATTACAAGTTCATCATATTTGTCCTACATTAACAATATAGATGAAAATAAAAAAACTTCATATATATAACTACAAAATATAACCTTACATACCTTAATAGCTTTTGCTCGATTGCCAATCCATGTCTTATCTTTTTTCTAAAATGTGCATTCAAATGTAGCTATAAATGTCGGTTCCGTCCTCAATTCATCTGCCTACAAAATATAAACATAAATGAGTAATCATTGAATTAACTTACAACATGTTTAACAGACTTACCATTCTTTTTCTATGCTCCCCGATGTTGATAGAGCCCCCAGCATATGTGGCAGACCCTTCACTAGAACTAGAAGCTCGATTCTTATTATTTATTTCACTGATTTGCTTATGCTTTTCGGTATCCCAAGTTCTCTTAATTTCCGTCCAATTGTCAGCTGTAATAAAATCCGGCTTTTCTTGACTTCTCTTTGCTCTATTCATCACGTTTCGCATGTGATCACCGGCTTTCTTCTTAAAAATTCTTCTAACTTCTTTCTCTTCCGCTTCATCCCACCTGAACTTCCGCTGCAAGCAATCAATAGAAAAACAATTGTACACTCAGTATGCTAAACCGAACTTAGTTTGTGAGAAAATAGAAGAACAAAACTTACCTTGAACTCATTCCACCACAATTCCTTTACTTCTTTTAGAGCGATGGTCCAACTACTATACTGCCACATCCAACAATTATTGATTATTTTATTAAGTTTCCTCACAACATACGTAGCATCCGTGAATCTACAAACAGGTTATAACGATGTCAACATACGTAGCATCCGTGAAGCATACGGACAATTCAGTTGACATCCATAATAATTTACATATACTTAAAAAAATGAAGTACTTACGAATCTCCAAATGGGCATATCATGAATCGGCTATCTTCTTCATCATTCGAGTGTTGCATTGAAGAAGAAGGTGGAACCGAAGGCGATGGAACTGAAGTAGATTCAGTTCCAATTTGAGGGTCGGAGGAAGGGCCAATATGTCCATCAGCATGTACTGGTTGAGGGTTAGATGAAAGGGCATGGGAAGAGGAAAGGGACGGGGACGAGGACGAGGAAGGGGAAGGGCCTGGTCTTCTTTGTGAAGCTACACCACGACGCATGTGACCTCCACGTTTATACTAACAAGTTGGAAGGTTAGACAAATATGTTAAAAAATATGAACATGTATTATGGACACATAATGACGTACGTCGTGAAGCTTACCATTTTGTTTTTTAGAGCAAGAGATAAACTTGAGAAAATGAAACAAACTTGCTATCGCCCCTGATAAAAAGCAAACTGTCCGGAAATGTCTACGAGCTTAATTCTTTAGCTCGTATTTGCCACAAATAACAGTTGTGGTAACTGTCTACAAAAACATTGAACAAGCACTTAAATATTAGCTCTTTTCTGGTGATTATTATAGAAGAAAACATGAGTGAGCATGTAGGCCTACGGAAAGGTCCCAAAAAAAATAAGAATCTAGATAATTCAGAGTTGAGCATGTAGCTGGCGGATACTCAAAAATATTGTAACTCACAATTTTTTGTCCTGAAGAATTTATACACTCCACACTGAATCCAATGTCCTGACAAATGGAAGAACATATATCAAAAGATATTCTTGCAATAATCTCTAGCTTGCATACCAAAAAACTAACACTAACACTAACACTTTGGACCATGCATTCATTTTGATTCTCCTAATTCAATTGCCAAATTCAACGTCCGATCTTATGTGTATAAAAAGAGGCACTCATTTCAACTACCATCATCAAATTGGAAAAAAAAAATACCCAAGCCCAAAAAATTCAACCCACAACTAAATTCGAGAAAGGTGTTTGTTTGACTCAAGATCAAGCCTATAGTCTATGACTTGAAGAACTTGTCCATATAGTCCAAAAATACAATTTAATATCAAGCTAACAAAGCCAAGGACATGGCAATAATGGGTAGGGGAGATGGTAGTCGGTAATCTCTCCGTAAACAAGGCTGGTTTGGTCAGTCTTGGGTCTGCATTTGTAATCACAAGTTAGTGAACATGTTAAGGTCATGCACAAGAATACTCACTTTCAGTCAAAGCTAATGGCTGCAGCTACTTCTTAGTGAATAGGAAAGTTTCACGGAAGTTTGAAGTTTGAAAAATTTCTCGCAGAATAGTACAGATGATTCAACAACCACAGGAAAGAAAACCTCATGACTTACTAGGTTAATTTTGCCTTATACCAGGGCAAAATCCCATGCAATGTATGAAGCAATTCTACGAATCCACCATTAAGGAAACCTAGCATAGAGTCCATTATGAAGCATAAAAATTTTTGGAACCAAAACAGCATCATCGAGGTTACAGCAGGAGCAAAAAATGACAACAACAAACCTACATGACATTCGTCATCACATTATAATCCTACATGACATTCGTCGCTAATCACATTATAGCCTATTTTTTATTGGTTTCAATATTCAAATCTAGATATAAATAAAATAATAATGAAACGACTCTGAAACGCCAAAAAAAACTCAAACCGAACTGAAATTACTGTTAAAATAGAATGGTTTTTTGCTCAAAAACCCATGTAAACGACTCCGAAACGCCAAAAAATGACTTGCATCATGGCCAAAGGCCATGAATTTTTATTAGCGGGCCGTTTCCACTTGACCGACCAAATTTCAGCTCATTCCGACCAAATTTCAAACAAATTTCAACCCACATCCGATCAAATTTCAGCTCATTCCGACCAAATTTCAACCTAAATCCGACCAAATTTCAGCCCGTTTCCACTCGGCGAACAGAATAAATTCGCCGGAAATTCCAATTACGGCTAACAGTCAATCTGAGATAAGTCATCATGTTTCGCCCACGAACAGAACCATTATATTTCGCCCACGAACAAAATCAAATTCGCCCACGAACAGAACAATACTTAAGCAAAAGCAGCAGACCCATTCTGTTTCGCCCAACATCCAACAGAAGCAAAAGCAGCAGACCCAAGCTAATTCGTACAACAGAAGCAAAAGCAGCAGACCCAACACAAACAACAGAAGCAAAAGCAGAAGCAGAAGCAAACATCCACAAAAAAATTTAGAGAACGTACCTCTAAAACTCTCGGACGACGATCCTCGCACTGGGTGTCCTTGCGCTTCCCAGCGTCCGCCACCGAAGAACGCCGAGAATCGCGCCGAAGAACGCCGAATCCGAATCCAAAGGTCGCCGAGAATCATTCGATCGAGAGACAGAGACAGAGAAGAGGGAGAAGAGGAAGAGAAGAAAACCCTAAATTGAGTGATCGAGACAGAGAAGAAAGCCTAATACTAGTTCTACCTGCAAATGAAGACGACGTCGTTTGGCTAATTTCCGCCGAAATTAGCCACGGATCGAAATTCGTGGCTAATATCGTGGCAAATTAGCCACGGATTCAAATTCGTGGCTAATTCCATCGCACATTAGCCACGAATTTTAATCCGTGGCTAATTTGCCATGATATTAGCCACGAATTTTAATTTTGTCGCGGCAAATTCAAATCGAACTATAAAATTGTCGCGGGAAACCCTAATATTTTTTCCGTTGCTAAATTCGTGGCAAATTTGCCACGGATTTAGCCACGAATTTCAATTCTACTAGCCCACACACGCCTAATTCATTTTTTTCAAATTCATGGCTAAATTCATGGCTAATTTGCCATGGATTTAGCCACGAATTTCAATTCTACTAGCCCTTTTTCAAATTTGTGGCTAAATCCGTGGCTAATTTGCCACGGATTTAGCCACGAATTTCATTTCTACTAGCCCACACGCCTAATTCATTTTTTTTCAAATTCGTGGCTAATTTGCGACGGATTTAGCCACGAATTTCAATTCAACTAGCCTTTTTTCAAATTCGTGGCTAAATCCGTAGCAAATTAGCCATGGATTTAGCCACGAATTTCATTTCTACTAGCTCACACAAGCCTAATTCATTTTTTTCAAATTCGTGGCTAAATTCGTGGCTAATTTGCCACGGATTTAGCCACGAATTTCAATTCTACTAGCCCTTTTTCAAATTCGTGGCTAAATCCATGGCTAATTTGCCACGGATTTAGCCACGAATTTCATTTCTACTAGCCCATACACGCCTAATTCATTTTTTTTCAAATTAGCCACGGATTTAGCTACGAATTTCAATTCTACTAGCCCACACACGCCTAATTCATTTTTTTTCAAATTTGTGGCTAAATCCGTGGCTAATTTGCCACGGATTTAGCCACGAATTTCAATTCTACGAGCCTTTTTTCAAATTCGTGGCTAAATCCGTGGCTAATTTGCCACGAATTTCATTTCTACTAGCCCACACACGCCTAATTCATTTTTTTCCCGATAATAACGCTTCAGTAACAATAATAGCAATAATAATAATCAACAACAACAACAATAATAATTATAATAATAATAATAATAATAACAATAACAATAATAATAATAATAATAACAACAACAACAACAACAATACTAATAATTACGACAACAACAATAATAATAAATATGACAACAACAATAAACTCATGTCGTAATAATAATAATAATAATTACGACATAATTAGTAAAAAGTCTCAAAAATCTAAATCTTCATCTTCACCTTCGTCTTCATCTTGATCTTCATCTTCTTCATGAGCATCGTCATCATCATCATCATCATCATCGTCATCATCGTCATCATCGTCATCATCCTCTGTCTCAAAATCAGATTCTGCAACACCTTCTAAATTTGATTCGCGAATTTCAATTAGATCTACATCTATCATTGATCCACATGGATCTCGTAAAGTTGGAATGTTATATTCCTCAGTTTCAACCGTGTTACAAACTTCCTCTTGTTGATATGCAGTATCCTTCCAGTGTTCCTCGATTTTTCTTCGTGCATTGGTTTTACATACAGCCCACAAATCAGCTTTGTCACATTTCAAACTAGGATATGATGCATAATATACTTGAATTGTTTGTTGTGCCAACACAAATGGTTCATATTTCATATACATTTTCTTGTGATTTATTTCAACCAAATTAAACTTTGTATGCACCTTCATTCCTTTGACGGGGTCGAACCACATGCACTTAAATAACACAACCCGCATTAATGGTCCGGGGTACTCTATCTCTATGATTTCATCCAACAAGCCATAAAAATCATCTTTTGAACTGCCACCATTGGATGACCGAACATACACACCACTATTCATTGTGGCTTTTTCTATTCCATATTCTTGAGTGTGAAAATTATACCCGTTTATGAAATATGCTGGCCAAGTTCGTACTCTTGACTTTGGACCCCATGACAGATGATATAGCAATCCTTGCTCTTCAACTTGATCATGATTACTGTGAACCTAAAGTCACACACGCAAAGTCAATAATATATATTTAAATGATGTATAAAATATAAATAACTTGGTTTTCGTCCATAGGCAACTTACATATGTTTTGAACCATGCTGCAAATTGTTCATCGCACAAACAGTCAAACTCATTTGGTGGTAGTCCATACATTGAAGTTTGAAAAATCCTATTAACAATTTACATTTATATATTAGTAAATATTTGACACGCAATACATATATTTGCAAATATACACTTACTCGAAGTATGGCTCCACTTTTGGACAGTTCAGTAAAATATATATATGGGCTGCCTGCTGTTCTTCGCCTGTTAAGCAACGAAACTTACATGCGCCGCTTGGTCGATCGAGATAATTGAAAATAGAGAATGATTTGCAATTGGGATCAATGGGTCCCTCATCATTTCTTCCTGCTCTCCGCCTCTTGCACTGCACGTGCGGCTCAAAATAGTATGATGCAAATGTTGTCACTTCTTCCACAATATATGCATTACAAATTGAAGCTTCAACACATGCCTTATTCTTCACTTTTTTCTTCAAATGATATAAGAACCTAGTTGCAATAGAAAGAAGTTTATCAGAACATAATTTATAATAAAGTATTTTGAAATTTATTTTAAAAAAAATTTTACCTCTCAAATGGATACATCCATCGAAATTGGACGGGACCTGCAACTTTGGCCTCATAAGGCAAGTGAACTAAGAGATGCTTCATTGAATCAAAAAACGATGGAGGAAATATCATTTCTAAGTTGCAAAGAATAATTGGAATGTCTCTCTCTAGTTTCTCCAAGTGTGATGCTTTTAACACTGTTGAGCAAATATCATGAAGAAAATTACTTAACTCTGTAATGGCGCCCCATACAAAGTTTGGTAGAAGTTCCTTGAAAACTATTGGAATTAGTCTTTCCATAAATATGTGACAAACATGACTCTTTAATCATGTCAACTTGCATTCGTTCAAATCAACACATCTCCCGATGTTCAAAGCATATCCATCAGGAAACCGCACAGATTTCAATCATTGACAAACGACTCGTCTCTGCTCCTTATCCAATGTATAAACTGCTTTTGGTTTTGGTCCCCTGCTGCTTGCATCCACATCTAGTGTTGGCCGATCACAAATATCTCTCATATCTTTTCTTGCATTCAAATTGTCTTTTGTTTTTCCAGTGACATCAATCACAGTATTTATGACATTGTCGAAAACATTCTTTTCAATGTGCATGACGTCAAGATTATGATGAATAAGATGGGCCTTTCAATATGGTAGATCCCAAAATATACTGCGTTTAGTCCACTTATGTGTACTTCTGTACGCAATAGTTGTGCCATGAGGGTCTTCAACAACAGTTGGAAAGTCCTGCACTCGCTCCCAAATTTGATCACCGGTCAACCTCAATGGTGGAGGTGTTCTTTCAATCCTATTCTTGATGAACTCTTTTTTATTCATTCTGAATATATGATTCGTCGGCAAAAATTGTCTGTGACAGTCAAAATAGCTGGGCTTCTTACCATGTCTTAATCTGAATAACTTCGATCTCTCCAAACATATCGGACATCCTAAGATCCCAGCTGTACTCCATCCAGATAACATTCCATAAGCTGGAAAGTCATTTATCGTCCAAAGAAGAGCAGCCTTCATTACAATTGTTTGATCAGTAGAAACATCATACGTAACGACACCTTCATCCCATAGCCGTTGTAACTCTTCAATCAATGGTTGCATATAAACATCTATTAACTTTTTCTGATTTTGCGGGCCAGTCACGATCAATGTCAAAAACATATAAGGTGTCTTCATGCATATACCATGTGGAAGATTGTACGGAGTTAAGATAACTGGCCAACATGAATAACTTTTTCGTGATTTCCCAAATGGGGCAAATCCATCAGCACAGAGACATAACCTAATGTTTCGAGGCTCTATCGCAAACTCAGGGTATGTTCTATCAAAATGTTTCCATGCCTCTGCATCTGAAGGATGACACATTAGACCCTCTTTTGTTTCATGATTTGCATGCCAAGTCATGTGTTCAGCAGTGGCTTGAGACGCATAAAGCCTTTGCAATCTGGGGATTAAGGGCAGATAAAACATTTGCTTGCATGGTCTACGCTTCTGATTACGACCCTGCCTCCTGTTAATCTTGTACCTAGGTTGGCTACAGAATTTTCAAGATTCTGCATTTTCATCATCTCTCCAATATAACATACAACCCCTACTACATACATCAATCCTTTCAACTGGAAGACCTAAGTTATCCACTAACTTCTTCATATCGTAAAAATCACTTGGCATGATGTTATCACGAGGCATGTTTCCCGCATTGCTTCAACAAAAGAGTTGAAGTAATTCTCAGACACATTATGCTCTGCCTTGATATTTAACAATCTTGCTGTCACTGATAACTGAGTGTGGTTGTCACAACCTGCCCATAAAGGTTCATCTGCTGCTTTCAACACTTCCCGGAACTGATTAGATGGAAAAGTTTCATTACACACATTCTCATCAAAACCTGTTACTCCTATCTCTTCCAATTGTTCAAGTGTAGGAGTAAAACTAGTACTTGCATAGTTTGAATATGAAATAACATTATGACCAGCTGCATCAATCACCATCCTCTGGTATGGGTTCAATTGGTCATAATAGCTACATTCTTCCCTAAGTGAAAATTGGTCACTTATTCGATATCCTTCATCAGATATAAATGGTTCACCATGGCAAGTCCAATTATAGTAGTTCGGAGTAAATCCAAATCTACAAAGATGTTCTCTAACTTTATCACACACATGAAATTTACCATTACTGCACTTGTTACACGGACACCGTAACTTATTTCCATCCATAAACTCAT